CTAGTACTAGTACTAGTACTAGTACTAGTACTAGTACTAGTACTAGTGTGTTGTTTGCGGGTAGGAGTACACCACCCCACTACCGCCTCCGCTTCACACCACTACTGCCTACCCTCACTGAGGGCTGTGATCGTTATGGCTGCGTTGCTACAGTGGTACTCCGAGCTGAAGGCAAGTGGGGTAAAGAGGCAGGCTGCCTCACGTCACCATCCAGGTCAGTGGAAGTAGGGCGGCAGGGCGGACTGGGGAACAGCTGAAACTCTCTCTCTCTCTCTCTGTCTCTGTCTCTGTCTCTATCTCTGTCTCTCCCTCTCTCTCTCTCTCTCTTCCTCTCTCTCTCTCTCTTCCTTCTCTCTCTCTCTCTTACTTAGAGCTTCTTGTTCCTAGTAGCGATGGCCTCCAACCTACTAGCTTCTTGCTACTAGTAGAACCCTTCAAGCAGATTCGCGGGTGGGACACATTGGAGATTAAGCTGGATTAAACGTTGCGAGACATCACATTCTTGATCATATTCTATTTGCGGACCTCGATTGGTACCAATTTCCTGATTAACCCATGTATGTCCCGCTCTCAATCTGTTCTTAGAGGATAACCACCTGCGGTTCACTATAAACCGGCAGCTCAGGATTGCCTTTAGAGTGAAAGCACATGCGCCTAGACTGGTGGATGGTCACGCCCCGTAAACACGGGCCTCGAATGACTCCCTTCTACGTGTTGGATCCCTGAACTCTCAGTCGATTTCAGTAGAACAACTCACCCGTAGAATTCCTGTTTTCCGGTCGTTGAAGGTTGTTTGTCTTGTTTTTTTCGTCTCGAACATGGAGGCCTGGCCAACAGAGGTCAAGTGACCTTATAGTCTATAGGGTTCTTCAACCTCTGCTGGGATTGTTGTAAAAACTGGAGTCATCCCACTTTTTGGTCCAGAGTTTTGGACCTCAAAGCCGGGTTTGCTGGGCGCGGAACGCTTCTCCGTCGAACCCACGCAAACAGTTCGCGCTCGTATCCACGTGAACCAGGCCGAATCTCAAATGGAAGCCATGCAGAAGCTGCAGGCGACCGGGTGAGAGAGCAGAGAATTTCTCCTTTGTTTGAACTTGGAGAGAGTGGGATCAGTGAATGATTCCATATGATCCATCTTCAAGGCAGCTGATTCCACCCCATCCCCCCCCGCGGTTCCATCTACCCCATCAAGTTTGGTCGATTCCGATTGTTTCAAAACCAACGCCCGGTGAGACAACCGGGTCTCCGCGGTTGGACATCACGGAATCGGTGCGTCCCGGAGTGGTTGAGGAAGCCCAGGCTTCGAGTCGTTGTGGGCCGGTGGGGCCGGTGTGTGCTGTTTTGGTTTCTGGAAGCGCGTTGGGTTTGTGTGGTGGATGGAAGCAAAACTACCAGGGTTCATGGGGAAAAGCTTGAACACATTTCCAGGTGTGGTGGGGACCATTTCCTCATGTCAGAAGGGCTCGTCCCCTCATGTCAGAGTTTTCATGCACCATTCATGTGACACAAAGAGCATGAGTTGATCTCTTTTCGTGACGGAAGTTCCTTTCAGGAACTATCAAGGGGGATCTCTTTCATGCCGGTCCGTTCCTGTCCATCATCTAGGGACCTACCTAGCGTCCTCCCCGTCACTGGGTCCCTTCCAGATGCAGCACATGAACCCAGCACTCCCCGTCCTGGGTTCGGTGCATCGACCATCCGTTGGTCGGTCTCCCACGCAGTGTCGGCAGGCCGCATCCAAGGTGCCAACAGTGCGCCGGAGAGTGGGTCCGTGGGGTCACCTGCGGAGAGGTTCGATTTGGTCCGGCGTCCTTTCGGAGGAAAGGAACCAGATGGCCAAGGCATCTCAGGTGGTCCCTTGTTTGGTTGCTTTGCAGACATGCGTACATGCGTCGTCGTCTTTAGGATTTGCGACAACACAGGGGCCTAGCTGCTTGCAACTCAAGCTGGCAGCCTGAAGAGCAGGAATTCCTGTTGTGCAAGGACCTCTTTTCTCTGCATCCGTTGGACAAAGGCTCCAGGACTCCATTAGTCCTAGGTGTCTGGTGCTGCTAGGTGTCTTGAGGTTCATCTTCCAAAGAGAGTCAAGACATCGTTCTGAATGACCTCTCTCGGAGATGTCCTATACGAACGTCTTGCAGGGTACAGCGTCAGGTCCTCGAAAGAGGCGGAAGAAACTCTCGAAACGTCTTGATTGAAACCTCTCTAAAACCATCCAGATGCATTCATTGCACACTGACTGGCTCAACTGGGTCATGTTGGCCGCACTCCCAACCTTAGCAGAGCTTGGCCCAATTCTGGAGACACCTCCTTTCACCCACTGACGGGGTGACCCCAGGCCCACACGGATTCGGCCAACAGGTACGGATGGACCATGGCCGACGCGTCGACCTGGAGCTGGATCCGGTGAACCTCGTTCCAGGCGACATCATCTTCCTGCAGGCCACATGGTCGAGCGACGCTGAAGGGGGGGTGTCGGGAATGTGGTGAAGTTGGTGGGTTTTGGGGGGAGATTGGTTTGAGCCACTGAGGCTTCAAAGTCAAGTTCGATCTTCACAGGACCTGAAACAGGGTTGAAGTCAGGCCTCAAGGGCTAGAACTTGACTGTTGGGCTTTGAGCGGAGATAGAAGGCCGACGGGCTCTCACGACGTGCTCTGCTTACAGGATGTGGGTACCCGTTGTGGCGTTGAGATGCGAAAATTGGGCCATGTTTCGAAGCACTAGTGTCTAACAAACACACGCCACTTGTCAATAAACTTGCTCATGTCGCAAACGGATCAACAGACCCCAGCTGTTGGGGATCTCTCTTGCCTCCCAACCTTCCGGGGCCCCTCCCCCAATCCCCCCCGCTCCGGACTGCTCCCCAGGCTGGGGACCGCATCCCCGCGGACGTGCGGATCCTGCACTGCACCGACGGTACCGAGGTGCCGTCCATGTTCTCGGTGGGGCCGAGTGGCGCATCCGAGGTCGGCTGATGATGGTGTGTTAACCGTTGCACTTGAGCACGGAAATAGACTTTGCGGCTACCACGGAGATGGCCGCTAGGCTGCTAGGCTAGGCTCCATATATCGCCCTCCGTTTCCCTCTCGTCCCATTTCCGTGAATACTTTTGTTCCACTGGGCGGCAGGGTTGCTGGATGTTTGTCGGGACAAGGGGTGAATAGCGTACGGATTGAAGTGCGGTGTCCAGGTCACTTAGCTGATTGACAAACTCACGAAGCTCTGGAAGTCTCATTGTAGTTGGACATGCCGATGCCCGTGAGCACACACCAGTTTCCCACAGAAACATTGTAGGGTCAAGCAGAATCCATAGGTCTTGTGCTGTTTTTTTCACGGATTGGACCCTGAAACGCTCCCTACTAGATCTCAAGCCGGGTGGATTGGATGCATTCCGGGTAGTTGCCCGGTGAGCAAGAATATCTAGTTGGCAGGGTGCAGGAAATGCCGAAGCTCCGATCAACAAGAGCCACATTATCACACTTGGTTTGATAGAAGCTGGTGTGCAAAGGATCAGGAGCCATCCGAGGTGAGGAAGTGTGCGTGACTGACTTTACGCAGGGTGAAAGTAGAATCACGATACTGTCACTCCTGGGCAGTGAAGGCACCTCAGGAACCAGGTTTTTCATTCAGGTTTGCATCGAGACTGGCGAGACTGCTACTAGTTAAGACATCTACCGGATCTAAGCCTTTGGTCCATTTTGTTTACCTCCTTCATTCGGGCCATGGACCATGTCCCACCGCCCAGCGAAAAAAGCCACTCGCTCCCCGCTCCACGCTCAACCTGGTCCACTCCTTCCGTTCGCGAAGACGTGCAGTACTCTCGTTAGCGCGTGTACTTCGCGCGTGAGCGCTCCGCAGAAACCGCAGGTGGACAACAGCGCACTCACGGGTGAGTCCATGCCGGAACCGCGCCACAACAAGACGGAGCCGGTGAGATAGGGCCGTGAGTTGGTTTGGAGGGTGGGGGTCATGCAGGTGAGGAGCTTAAACGACTCGTTTCACCTATCCAAACTCATGCAGACTATAGAAGACTCTTGATATTTCAACCCCCTTGTTTGGAACCCACCGTTGGGATGGTAAAATCTCTTCAGGCTCCGGGCACTTGAGGTATATATAATCAAGAGATATGATGTCAAGAGTCTACAGAAGACAGATTTGCGGATCCAACGATTCATAGCCTTTATAGGCTTTTAGGGCAGCTGGCTTTGGGTGCAAAATTCTGTCCTACACCACGGGAGCACAGACCGAATGCCGGTAAAGGAAGGATCCACAGATGTTCTCGGGAGATCTTCCCTAAATTGAAAGGCACCCTAAGGTACCATGGCGGAGCATCACTGGAATCTTTCCTGGCAAAGAGATGACATGATGTCAGCCCCATGTTCATGGCAATCACAACTTGGACACCGTTGAAGAAGGCATGCAAAGAAGGCATGTCGAACCGCCCTATGGCTCCCAAGGTCAAGCAAACCCCAGGTTATATAGCGGGATGGGTATCACCAGGGAATTCACCGTCTGCATGCCTCACCCCACCCATTTCTCAAGGAATTGACCGACCGGCTCGGTTTCACCACCCTGGTCTCTACTGAACCTATGCCATAGGCTACGCTGCATGGCATGCGGCTGCGAAGACCACACGCCAGGTGACCTGCCCACCACCCGAAGCTCGGAACCTGGCCTTCTTCGGGACCACCGTCCTGAAGGAGCGGAGGGCCACTGCGGGCCACGCGGGAAGACACCCGCTCGCCGGGCCACGCGAGCGGGCGATCTTCGAGTTCCGGGTGGGGGAAGCGATGGGGTAGGCCGCTGTTTGGGGGAAGGGTGAAGCCAATGGGGAGATCTCTAAGTGGAGGAACTGCTGTGTCAACTCCTCTGGAACACGGAAGAGGGCTGCCACGCTGGTCAGCACTGCTGACAGGGTCGTGTGAGGCCACCTCTTGGAGAACTTCTCGAGTGGGACTGGGACCATTCTGTAGCTACTGCTAAGTCTTTCATGCAGGTCTGTTCAGATTTGGTCTGAAAAGTCCAGCAAATCCAAGCCGACTGGCCAGAACCCTGGGTCGATGTGCATCCATGATTTGCACAATTCACGTGTGATCTTTCAGCATGGATGGGCACTGCAGGGCTTGGGAAGAGAACTTGTTGCGCTTGACCACTCCAATCCACGCGTTCGCACCCCTGCTGTACGCTGCTCCATGTCTGTTCGTCCCGAAGGGGGCCTTGCCTCGGTCCCGGTCCGCAGGGCAATGCCACCTGCCTCATTCACGCCACGGGCGACGCGACCTTCTTGGGCAAGATCGCCCAAGGCACCGGAGCTCCGACGGGCTTGGAGCTCCGTTGTTCTTCGGCGGGCCGGGACGGAGGACGGTTGGGACGGGACGGAGGACGGTTGGGACGGTTGGGACGACGGAGGAGGGCGGGCGGGGCGCGTCGTTTTTCTTTTTCTGGACCCCCCCCCACAAAACCCATCAGGATGGGTGAAGACCTTCAGAGGCAGTGAAGTAGTTCTATCATCTCGCGGTGAGGACAAGTTGCTGTTGTAGTGCGGCATAAGCACCAACAGCTCCACCCGGATGGATGGGAAATGCCAGTCAGTTCCAAGGGCACAGCATGTGAGTCAGATCGGTGTTTTGTGTGTGCCTGCTAGGAGTAGAGAGCAAGGGGCAGGTGCTGCCATTCCGACTTTCGCAGTGTTTCTTGGAATCAAATCGATAGGGGCGTACCAGCATGCCAGCTTCAACCCATAGCGAGATTCCTCCAGTCCTTCAGCTTGAGTGGTATTGATCCCAATCGCTGCGACAGTTGGAAACACCAAAGGAAAACAGTTGCTGTTTCAGATATGAAGCTTCATCCACTTCTCGTCCGGCTCGTCCCGCCTCGTCCCGCCTTCGCACCCCCACCCCACCGCACGTCCCGGGTCTCGTGTTCCGCCGCATCGCGCGGTCGGGAGCCGGTGCGGCGTTGTTTCAGCCGCAAGGCATCAAGTCCTCCAGGGTGAAGTCCACTTTGGAAATCCAGATCGAACACTTCGTCCCCAGGGCCGCAGGGGAGGAAGGTTGGAAGGTCTGGCCGCGGTGGTCACCAGTTTGGATGTGTCTTTTGAAACGGATGGAACATGATGGAACTCTGTGACATAACTTATATAAGTTATACAATTTTACAAACAATTAAAGAATTTTAGAAATAATTTTAGAAACAATTAAACAATTATAGAAACATTTTTAGAAACAAATTAGACAATTTTAGACACAATTAAACAGTTTTGGAAACAACCTAAGAATGTTAGAGGTGTGCAGGGGATGCCTGGAACCTCAGAGGCTTTAAAAACATCTAATATATAATTCACTGAAGTTCCTGGTAAAGATTGTTTTGTGCACCATTGGAGGGCCATGGTCTGTGCGGATGGGATGCTTGAGTGATGTTGAAGGCATTTGGTCTTCAGCTGTTTTTCCCCGGTCACCTCTGCAGTACTCTGTGAACAGAACAGAGTATATAGATATATCATTTTGTGACAAGTCATATGCAGGGGCCAAAAGTCTATTGTTTATTCAGCCTGGTCACCTGCCAAAAAACGGCGGATTCACCCAAACAACTAATTTACCAAATGAAGCGGATGAAGAATGTAACGACCAGATCTCTCAGGTGGGAGAAGAAACACCATACCATGGCCAGCTGTCAGCACGAGCTGTCAGTTTTCCAGCTGCCCACTCCTTTCGTTGATGAAAACAGACCCTCCGACTGTCACCCGGTGTGGTAGACTTCCCAGTTTGACCTACCGGGAAGGGAATGGCGACCTACCAACGTCTACCCAGCCGGATCCTCTTCGAATCGGTCCACAGCATGTTCCCGGTCTCGGAAGAAAAAGAAGGGGCCCATGTCATGTTCCCATTTCTGAAGTGAGGTGTGCCGGAATTGCACCTCTTTTTCTTCATTTTCGAACGAAACCACATGGGGGCAAGCCCACATCCACAGCTTCTTTTCCCGCCTTTGAAGGCCCAGCAGCACAGCATCCCCCAGCTTCAGGTCCACATCATTGCCGTGGTCGCCATCTGTGTAGGCGGGACCGCCCGTTGCGGGTCGGTAGGAGATTCCACTGTTGGAAGGGGGGTAGAGGAGAGGTGAAGGGAGGGGAGGCAGGTTGGTTAGGTGGCTCAATGAATCAGAATCAGCCGACATTTGGGAGTATCCCAATGGAATTGGAGAATTGTACCCAAAGGCAGACACAGACCTGGATCTTCCAACATACGTGCACCGTGCAACAATTCTGCCATTTCATCTCTGAAACCAGCCAAGGTTGGCACACCAATTTGCATAGTAAGAAATAAGATCCAGGTATTGTCAAGCATGCCAACAGTTGGTTGAAGAACCCTATAGGCCCTCTAGACCAGCCCATAGGTACCCCAGGTTACGGGGCCTATAAGGTCACTGAAGCTCTCTTGGTGAACCCAGCGCTGCCCTTTCTAGATGCCCAGCTGGAACGAGTCCCCGTGCACCGTGCCATTCGACTGGTTCGCTTGGGAACCCCGAGGGTGATGGACGTGGGGAAGGGCCGTGAGCCGTGGCTTTGCTGAAGAACCAGTGAACAGGTTAGGCGGCTCGGCGGCCCTCAAAAGGAGGGGAGTCACAAAGCTGACCATCACCGCTTTTTCCACAACTCCGCAGCTTTCAAGATTCATCTTCTTGATGTTGGGCACCCACCTTCGACTCCTCCCCCTTTCTTTTAGTGCCGCCAGTGCCCCAATGCCACCCATGCCAGGCCTTCTGAGCCTTTTGGCCAATCTCCTCAGTCCGGTGAAGCGCGGACCCGCGGAGATCCTGCAGAGTAGCGCCGCAGCCCTCTTCGCACAGGCGCGGTTACCTGGGCCAGGCCAAGGATGACACGCTTCGAAACCCGTGGAAAACGCTGCGAACGCCGGTTTCTCTCAGGTTTGGAGCGGTTTGGGGCGGCAAGATCGGTGGACGTCGGAGTTGGTCGGCGATGGCATGTGTCCATCCCTGGGCGGGTGAGGCTGCTAAGCCTTCGGCTGCTGTTGGCGCTGCTAAGCCTTGGGAGGTGGCCAAGTGGCCATCAAACTTTGCATAACTTCTCGGAGTGTGTGCGCTGCTCTGATGCAAAAACCCATGCAAGTTCTAAGTCACCTCGTATCCCGGGCGGGTTTCTGACGATTTCTTGCAAGAGTCACACTTTCGAAGCGGTTGCAGGTGCCAGAAGGCCTTTTGCCCACTGTGACCATTTCCTTGATGATTGCCTCCGACCAGATGGCCAGTCGAAATGCCCCTTGTCCTGGTCGAAGATGCTTCCCGGAACGCCGGGTGGTGGGGAGACGAGCGAACCATGTGCGATCCTGGTCGAAGAGGCTCCGAAATGTAGAGATTGATATATACCCCCCACAGGTAACTGGTTTTACAATCCAGTGTTCGTGCATCCAAATGGTGTTATTTTATGTTATTTTTGCTTTTTTATCAAGAGTCTACAGGAACTTTGATGCCTTCGAATGGTAGGTGAATTGGATCACAAAGAGGTTCGGCCGTGTTGCCGCCTCGAGTTTTGCGGATGAAGGTACTCGTTACCAGCCATGTAGTCATGCCAGGAAGCTACTAGCAAGTAGCTCCCAGTTGCTCCGCTCGTAGCGCTGCCCTTTGTGACTAGCGATGCACTTGTTTCTAATAGTCTAATAGCTTCTTGTTACTACTAGTAAGGCCAGGAGCCCCTAGTAGCTTCTTGCTCCTAGTAGCGTGGCACTTGTTACTAGCAGATTAAAATAGGGAGAGTCCGACTCCCTGGGGTTTGAGTTCGGAACACAGGACCCGTCTGCCGGCGAGAGCGGGCTCGAGCCTGGGGGGGCAGGGGATGTGGTTAGGCGATTGGGTCGTCCATTCTGTTCATTTTCTTTGGTCAACCCGGGTAGCCCGGTTTTGAGCCACACCCATGTGAGGCCTTGGGACATGACTAGTTATTGATCGATCTTCCCTTCCTTTGGACTCTTTGTACCCCGCAAACCATGACAGCCGATGACAGACCCACGAAGAGAAAGGAATCGACTCCACATCGTGGTCGGTGGTGGTTGTTTTCAGCTTTGAATTCCTCAACATCTTTTGGATGGCATCAACAGTCAAGGAAATCAACTAAAGCGGCTTGGTGTCACAACAAGTGACATGCTTCTTCCCAGCCCCCTGTCAGCGATAGTCAATGAGACTTGCGCTCGGAGAATTGAGACTTGCCATATTCAGCTCCTGACATCTTGATCATGTCTTGTCAATTGTTCCTAGGTCTTCATGAATCTATCACCCCCTTGTTTTGGCAGATCTTCCAGAAAAAGCAGGCTGATCAAGAAAAGAAGTTCTGGTCAGACACCCTCACTGGTTGCGGAAGAAGACCCTCCAATCAAGCCTTGGGACGCTCCGAGGTCATCGTGCGCAAGATTGACGCGGTCGAAACCCTCGGCTGCGTGTCGGTGTTCTGCTCCGACAAGACAGGCCAGTTTCATGGACTGTATCAGATGTCGGAGGGCCCTGCTGCAGGGTGATTGACAGGGTGCTGGATTGACAGATGATTCTTGCGAACATCGGACATGCCATGTATCAGACTCAGATGTCAGATGTCTATTTTCTTGGGGGAGAGATCACGCGATTCAGGTCCCTCAAGCATTCATGGGCTTTAGGAACTGCCAACTGTCCTTGCGCGTGACACTTGAAGCATTACGGTCATCATGCTCTTGGGATGGTCAACATGACGGTTGATGGGAGGTTTTTGGCCTCATGGTACTCATGGGTGTATTAGAGCAGAATAAACTTGCAGAGACCTCCCATTTCGATAAGACCAGGTAGACACCTGGGCCGGGGGGGTCCGCCATTGGCCGTGGCGACCCAGTTTGGAGTTGAATTGGTGGATTAATCATGATTTGCCCCCCTACCTCCGAATATAGGAGCCCCTGCAACACTAGGTATGCTAGGGTGAACATCCATGGTAGAACTGCGCCATGCAGTTTCATCTTTGTGTAGACAAGTCACAAGTCCCTTTAAGATTTCAGTTCGGGATTTGTTTGAACAAATTATAGTGCGTCAAAAGCCGACGATAGACCATCGGCCGGTTTTTGAAGTGGTCTCAAGAAAGGCCCAGAAGGAATACCATATAGGAGGAAGAAGTGTCCAAAAGCACCCAGCTGGTCTCTAGTAGGGTGATGAGTCGACCTCAGCAAAACTCAGTCCCTGCATGCCCTGACCAATGCCAGGCACCTTGACGACGGGTGAGATGGCCGTGCAGGAGCGTCCGGCCAGCGAAACCGTTCAGCGGCCGTAAAGAGGCAGAGGGAGACGTCGCCGTCGCTGTCCGTCGCTGTACATCGCAATCATCGAGCTGGTTACGTGGATGGCATGGTCTACACAGGATGACCATGTTAGAGGTGGTTCGTTGACCCTGTTGGACCCTGTTTCTTGGTCTCTTTTCCCGTTTGCTTTGGTGACTGGTAGCCCCAAGACAAAACCAGGCTCATTGAGTGGGTCTCGACCACAGGTCGCTTGGAGCGTTTGGGTCTCGACTAGCCGACTAGCCACGAGTGTACCGCAGTGTGGGGAGGCGGGAGGAAGAATCCATCAGTTCCACAGGAATCCTTTTGTGATGTTCTGGGCACCCCCTTTTTCTCCACCCCAAACTCACGGCTTTTGGTCTCACCCCTCGATTCGGTGGACAATTGACGTGTGGGAGAGCGAACGTCGGTCAGTCACGGGAGAGCTGAGGAGGAGGACATCGGATGGAACGGTCGATCTCTCTTGAGGACTTAGTGGTGCAATCTCCCGGCGCCACCTTCGGCTTGGAGGTCGAACCGGTCGAACCGGTCGCGTGGCTTCGGACTCTGAGACCAGAGCTGCAGCGTGGCGGTGGATGTGGCGTCAGATGTGACGTGGCGTCAGACCAGCACCAGCTATAGACCTAGCAGGCTATGTGTTTTTCATGGAAGAACAACTCTTTGGGTGGTGCTGGGAGAGCACAGTAAGCTGAAACCAATACGGGACATTGTTCCATGTTGCCACGAGCTTGGTGACCACGAACAGACAACCACATCCGCGTCACGCGTCAGCCTCACGTCACGGACGGTCACGACGTCGGTGGTCAAGTCACGTGCGTGACGAGGTGCACAACCGCGATCGGGACTCTTCGCTTTTCAAGAGCCAGCCGGCGCTGGAAGAGATTTCGGTGGGGAAGCCGAGCGGAGGTGTGGGAAGTCGCTGGTGTGGGAAGCCCGGGCGGTTTGGAACATGTGTGGTGTGGGAATAGCATAATGTGGGTGTTTTTTCTTTTTTCACATGTGGGCGGAGTTTGCAGAGAAACAAGAAGGGTTTGTGAGGGAATCACGGACTTTTGACTTTAATGTAAAGGGCTTAGGTCAACGGTTGGAATCCTTGCTGAGGCAAGAGGAGGACATATCTTTTGTTGCAAGAATACTAATGTAGAATCTTGGTTAATCACCTTTCCATTTGGATTGAACCACTTCTTTATATGGGACGTTGTGTTTCTTGTTTTTAAAATAAACCAAGAGCCCACAGTAGTTTCTTACTCTCAAGAGAGTAAATCTTACTCTCAAGAGAGTAAGGCCACAAACCGAGAGAAGCAACCCAAGTAATAACGGACGTTAATAGTGGCCACTACCAGGGTCACGCCGCTTGAAAAGGGTTGTTGTTTACAATCATCATGCTAATTTAGGCAATGTCTGGAGTGTGATGTGGTGCCTTGTCTGTCCATTCTTTCTTTACAATACGGTGCTTTAGTTATGCCCTAATGCCAGCATACATGTACTGTACCCCAAATAGCAAGGGATCCTGTGGAGTTTGTTGTGGAGTTCATACGGCACATATCGACGAGCTGCAGGGGCCTTTCCTTGTAAGACACTCTGCTGGTTTGGCGACAGAGTGCCTGGTCAGAGTGAAGGTGCCCAGCGGCTAGCGACACTCTATCCACCCTGGAAGGCTACTTTATACGATTCCATGCGTTGGATGGGTTGACTTCGGTATGAGTTGACCATCTGCCATCAGGACTCCGGTGACCCTCCGATTCCTCCACATGCCGATCCGACCATCCCAGATGTGTGGCGTGCTGAACAACGGGGCGGAGTTCAAGGCATTGAGCCGACGAATCCAGGTTTCATTCTTCAGCCCACGCCAGGAATGCGGTGCAAACAAAAGGTAGACTAAGAGCGTTTTAGAAGAGAGGGTCAAATAAGGCGCAGGTGACCACTGGTCTAGTGGGGCTGCGACCTTTTGGACAGTTTTCTTTGCAAACTTTACATTCTTTCACAGCAAACTGTCCAAACTGCTGCCCTTGCGGGCCTTTTGGAGGACACCGCGTACGAAATACGAAAGGCTTGCTTTTCGGACTCTTGGGATCTGTTTGGACTCATCTCACCGCAAAGCGTCCTGCGAAACTCGCACCTTGGTATGTCCTGCACGAAAAAGCGGGAAGGGAAAGGAGGAGGGATCACAAGCTTTTAGGAGGAAGGTTGAGTCGATTCCTCTGTGGACTATGCCAAGGGACGGCAAGAAAGAGAAACACAGGGGCACAGGGGTACCAAACTCTGGCACACATTTGTTCGTTGACCTCCCCACGTGAGAGCCGATGGGAACGGCCTGGGTTTGCAACCCCCTGTTCGCACACAGGGCGTCGGATTGGGGTTCCGGGAGGGTGATCAGCTCTGTGGTTCAAGTAGCGAGAGCTGGAATTGGGAAACATAAGCTGCTACTAGCTCCTGGCATGGCATTACTACTAGGAACAAGAAGCTATTAGGTTGGAGGCCATTGCTACTCTTCCAGAACTCCTTGCCTTCGACCATTCCACCATTCGACCGTGCCAACGGTGGACGAAGCCGGTTTCGGCCGGCAACGGGAGCACAGCTGAGATGCGCAGGTGGAAGGGAAGGAAGAACGATGGCAGATGCCTCAGCTGAGGCCACAGATGAAAGGATCTAATCGATCATCCAACCACAAGTAGGTACAAAAGCATGAAGACCACATCACCCAATGGATATGGAAGTATTTTCACTCTTGTTCCTTTACCAGTGGGTCAGAATCCCTCTATAGATGCCACATTTCTTTGGAACTGTCCATTTTCACCAGCTGGTTCCGCCCACCTGGCCCCTAAGGACTGGTTCTCCGACGGAGGTCGCGATCCTGAGGGCCTGCGCCGAGGCCGGCCGTCGCGGCGCTGAGCCGTCCAGTCGATGTGAGCTGATCGGAGGTCGAGTCGCCCTTGGGGTGGGGGAGTTCCGTGTCTTTTTACCATAGTACATTTGCCATAGTACTAGTATTCTCACCAACTTTGTGACAGAGCAGATGGCACTAGTCACTAGTATTCTGACCAACTTTGCTTGATTTGGAGCACCCCTCCTCAGGGTAGTCTCAAGGGAAGAGCGCTGGAACCGGAAAGAGCGCTGGAAGCTTTGGAAGAGTGAGCGTTTCCGGATACAAGACGGGGATGGGGATGTATCTTTCTTGGGAGGTAACCATTCAGATCAGATCCATTCATTTGTCATTTGTTACACAGTTCGAGTAGGCGGTCTGAGCTTGGCCAGGTCCTATGGACACCACCTGGTCGCCTCATGGAGAATCCCGGAAGAAGGTTGATTCCATGGCCTTGACTCCGGATCCTTCCGCCATCGTCTCATCGTCTCATCTGTTCATCCTGACGGCGCCCAACTCACGGCGCGATCCTTCCGCCGACGCCCGACGCCCGACGCCGACCGACTCGGGGCGCGGTCAGGTGCAGGGAGGGCCCTCGCCAACAGCTTCGTTGAAGCAAAAGTCGGGCTCCTCAGGTCGGTTTGAAGGTCAAGGGGGGGCTGTGTGAGGACAGGGTTAGGCAGGATGCGAACGAACAAATGGGTTTTGCTGGGAGAATTGCAGCATCTTCAGAACTCGTTTTCCGTTTCTTTCTCGGTTTGTTTGCGTCTTTTCATGTTTTTAACATGTGTTTTTGCATTTTTTTACATTCGCCGTTCGCTGTTTGGTTCCTTGCTTTCTTCGGCTTTCTCGGTTGGTCTCGGTCAACTGCCAGGTCTGAGAACTTCAAATGCTTTGAGATCCCCTTCAACTCGGAGAATAAGCACGGATGGCCCGGTGGACGTGCGAAGAGAAGTTTGCGTGTCACCCTGGGGGGTGCTGCCTGGCTAGTCACTAGTCCTATGTAGATGGTAGGTGCCTTGGCTTGAGGAGTCTTCATGGCAGTGCACATGGCAAAAACAACTGCAGTTTTGAGGGGTTTGGGTCTTTTGATGGGTCCTGGCCCAGAGGGAGTCGAAAATCAACAGAGCAATGCAACATGACCCAGTATAGTGAGGGATTGGCCCACAACCCTCTTCCGACTGCTTATACCTGCACCTCAATTGATGCGCACCGTTTTTCTTCCATGGGAATCTTGTACTGACTTATACCATATACCCTAAGAATCAAAGACCCTCAAAGGTGAAGGTTTTGAGGGTCCAAACCCCTGCTATGCAGGGTCAAAACCCTCCATAGGAGGGTCCAAGGATTCTTAGGGTGTATATATATATATATATACACACACACACACCTGGATCTTCCAACTGTGCAACAACTATTCGTTTTTTCATATCAAAAACCAGCCCAGCTCGGTTTTTGCCACTTATGATCCGGGTGGTCTGCGGTCTGCGGGATCCCTAGGACTTCAACCATCCATTTCATAGGCTTTACCGTGTCATCACCTGAGGGTGATTCCCTCAATGTGGGATGTTTGCAACCGCATGGTTCTTCCACCTTTATGTTCGTCGCCCCTCTCTCAGACCCTTTGCAGACGCCGATCAGTGTCCTTCCTTACAGGTGACCAAAGAGAGGCACACATTCACCGCACTAACCCAGACCCTTCATTTCGTGGCTGCCCGGCGTACGCATGCTGCGCTACACCCGCCGGCAACCTCTTGGTTACAATATCTACCGCTATCACCATTGGAACAAATGCAAAAGATACGTGTAGAACACGGTGCCGAGTCACAGACAATCTCTGCAGCCATCCATCCGGGCAACCATTGGTTGCCCATAAAGATGCATCCTCCTGAAAATCGGAACGCAGTATTTGTCCAAAACCATGCAGGACCCCTAGCCTGATGTCCTTTGCTCCATTTCCTCCTACGGCGACTATGTGTTGTACAGCCTGACATTGCCAATGAAATCGTTCATTTGCAGTGCAGGCAAGGCTTTTGGACCAACAGGCACACTAAGCTTCAATAAAACCTCATAAGGGCAGTTGTCAGGTGACCCGGAAAATGTCAACAAGATGATACTAGAGGGCGCACGTAGGGAAGGCGGCCCAGAAAGAGCTTTCTAAGCCTACAAGGGGAAATGGCCTTTTCACCCTCAAGAATTCAGCAAAATAGTCCAGGAGGCAGAGAAATCCGACCCACAAACTACCCTTTTCACACCTTTTCCAATGCGTCAACAACACATCCAAGGGGGGAGAAGACACAGTCAGGAAACCTGCGACAGAGTCAGTAAATCTCCGTAGAGTGGCTGATCATCTACTATACGGAAACACGGCGGAAAGGCGCCGCCATTTTAAAACCACTTGCCTCATCCCGGTTGGCCGATCTGGATTGGAATCGTGTCTCGTCTCCGATCCCGTTGGTCTCTGACTCCTGGTCTCCGGCGGGCTCTGGTCTACCACCGCCCAACAAAGGGCATTGCTACTAGGAGCAAGAAGCTACAAAGGGCACTGCTACTAGGAGCTAGTAACGGGAAGAGGTTGTTCCGTTTGGACACAAAACAAGACACAGGACCCACACTCTGACATTGGTTTGCTGTTAACTCAGTTCCCAAGTCAAAGAAAGGTGGTGGAACAGAAAGGCGAAGAATCCAAGCATTTGTAGGTGTTTGAACAAAGTGGTTTCACACTTGACTGCGGAAGCTAGTTACTGCATTAGCCCTTTACTGCAAGAACGGTAAGGTGCAAGGGTCCAAAGAACAGAACTGTTTAACAAACGCACTAGCACTTTACCAAAGCTAAGGAAACCTGTTTTGGGGGATATCATGCGAACAACCACCATGGAAACAACAAAAGGAAAAGTGGAGTCACAGCGTGTGCAAAAGTTTTCATCCGCGCAGGTACAGAAGTTTGCGTCCAAACTTCCATCCAGTCGATTTCCCTAGCTTCGTTGGCGTGACTAGGAAATCGACCGTCACGCCCCCTGCGACTTAAAAGTTGAGAAAAACAGAAACTCTTAGTTACAGAGGTGGACACACACACACACAAGAAATGAACGCGTGCCTTAACTAAGTGGTGCACAACACCTGCGCCTACAACTCTTTTGCGGTCGAGCGCTGCAAGCTGTGGTTCCTATCGGTCAGGCACCATCGCTTCAGGATATAGACTCAACTGCCCGCCCAGGTGGATGCTGACCATCCATGGTGACCAGAACAACGGCTACTTCGCGGTGAGGAGCCCCAGAGCGGGCAGATCCCACCGGTTCGACCCGCCGGTGGCGAGGGTGGATGACCAGACGCGTGCCTCCTGCTTGGTCTCTTTGTGGAGCTGGAGGGTTGGGATCGTTGGTCCACCGTGGATGGGCTGCTTTTGGAGTGAAAGTTCCCAAGTCGGTCGGTCCCAGCTTCCTCGGACCTAGGGTCCATTGGGGGCCACAATCCACCTCTGAACGTGCAGTTGTTCTTCCCCATAAGACTTGAAAAGACTTGAAGATTTCAATCAACGACGCGTTTCAAAAAGCTCCAAGCGGCCAAAACCATGAGTTGGTGGCCTGACTTGGGTGTCTTGACATTTTTTGTGAAATCGGATCGAACCGACCAGAGCGATGGCCTCCAGCCTAATAGCAATGGCCTCCAGCCTAGTGCCGCTGGCCTCCAGCCCACTAGCTTCTTGTTTCTTGATCAAAAGGCAGTCCAACCTGGTTCCCTGGGATCACCCACCCACCGGGTCAGTCATTGGGGTCGGCCCCGGTGGGCGCCGGTGCGGACCGCCCTTCGAAACGGCACGGTTCCGATGTGGCCAGATCTTGAAGGGAGCACCAGAGCGGGTGATGAAGTGCGCGAGATCGGCAGGGATGAGGGCGTCGGTGGGGCGTCGGTGGGGAAGTACCTTTTGTAGATATGACATGATATGTGAAGGATGGAGAAAAGACCTGAAGAGTCGCTATAGAGTCCGTTTCGCTGGGTCTTTCCAAGGGCTTCTGAAGGGGCGGTGAGGAGGCATAACAGAAAGCGGATGGTGTATTGCTGGTCGGAGTCTTTTTATTTCTATTCTTATATATATTTTTTTAAAATATCTTTGCTCAGCTCTTTGGTGGTAGTTTGCTGGTTGTCTCAAGATCAAAATAGATGGACACTGCAAAGGGACGGCTTTTGGTGGGGAATTTGTTTAATCCACTCACTTGAGGATCTTGAGGTCCAAACACAACCTCTTGGCAACCCTGACAAGCAGTAGCTACATATACCATAGTTGATTTCCTCTTTCCAGAAAAAGAATTCAGCCTGGAGGAGCTAGCATTGGAATTCCCATGACACGAGAGCAGTCGGTGGCTTGTCCGTTTTTTTTTTTCTCTTCTGCCCGGAAGGTACACCACCCTGCAGAGCGATCCCAGCATTGTGGGGAAGGCACCTTCCGCCCGTGTGGATGGATTTCACCCGGGAAAACCGGCGAAGGATGGGGGCAATCAACTCGATTTTGCTTCATCCTATTATGTGTGTTTCCATGCGACCCCAAAGATAGACGACGCAAACACCCTGCTGTTCTTTTTTTTCAATCCTTTGGTTTCCCTCCAGTTTTTGCAGTGAAATTTTCAAAGATGGACACTCGATCACCCTTTCCGAAAAAAGGACTAAGCGTCCAAAAGGCGTATCTTCTTGGCAACATTGACTTTCTATCTATTTGGCCGTCACTATATCTACCTGCGACCTACTCGTTTGCTCCAGCGAAGACCCAGGAAGTTCTTGGAAAAAAGGAACGCATGGAATTCAAATCTGAAACGGGGAAGTTCTTGGAAAAGCAAACAAATTCCAGACCAGGCACTGAAGTTGTCTTGAAGGCCTCAGATGTGCCCGCCAGGTGGAGCAGCAACTCCAAGATCTCATGGGACAGGTGGGATCGACTGCAAAAAACCACCCGCCAGCGCACGCGGTGTATAAGGAGGAGACCTGGATCTGGTTGGCAAAGTTTTGACCCTGTTGCTCCTCGGGTGCTTTTCGGTCGATGGTGCTCGAAGCTTGATCTACTGCTGGGAGACGAACAGAGTTATTGTTTTATGGCTTGATGGGCTTATGGTCCGATGGCATGATTGTCAAGACAACACCATCTTCATGGGGGACTTGGATGTGAAAACCGCCAACTTCCGAGGGCTCGATGAGGGTGTCTTAGAACGAACATCCCGAACATCCTACCGGAAGGAGCCAAGAAGTAGAAGGAAGGAGCAATCTATGCGCTTAAGAGATCTTTTGGAGCTTGTTCCATCTTGTTCCAGTAGTACTCCTCCAGATTTATCCAGATCCAAATCCATGAGGGTGGACGACAATGCCTTTGGGCACCCGTCCAGTTCCAGGAAGCGGACATATTTTGGGGTTGATCTCTCAGACACACGCACCAAAACCATCCATGGGACTGTCCTTGTCCCACGCACCCGTGATTCCCAGTCCCTGCACTACCTTCGGAGAATATCAATAGGTAGCTTCTTGTTAGTAGTAAGGCCAGGAGCCCCTAGTAGCTTCTTGAGAATATCAATGTGGCTCTACTGGACAGGTCAAACATGTCCATTCCTTCGACCCCCCTTGGTCGACCCATTGGCTCCTGTCGGAGCCGACTCGTGGTCCAGGGCCGTAGGGTCCTTTGCATCGCCAAGCGCTCGCTGGAGCAGAACGAAATTCCCATGGCGCCCGGGGGCGGGGGGTAGAGGACGCGACGAACGGAGCAAAGGGCATCGCTAGTAGGAGCGATCGGACGCTACGAACCGAGCAGAACGTCGTTGTGTCGTACTGTGCCGGTCACACGGTGTAGCGCTTGCGCTGGTCCGACGGGATGCGGTCCGACGTGACGGGGAAGAGGAACCAGACGAATCTTACTTTAGTTGACCCTCATCTTGCATTTTTGTGTTTGTTCACGATCAGTTCTTTTTCGGGATCCTCTTGGAGAAAAGGTACCCACATCTTGAGGCAGCTTAGATAGAACAACCTCCACCACCGAGAACCTCCATGCAACCCTGTGACCAGTGGGAGCCCTTCCCAATCACTGCGAAATACTTTGTGTCGCCATGGGTAGTTGCGGTCAAAACGCCAAGGGAGAACCAGACATTGATGCTGGGCATGTTGGTTGAATCGCACAGAAGGATGCAAATCCTCCGATTCCATTGGTACTTATACATTGGTACTTACACTCGCAGCTGACAACATCCTTCCAGGATGAGGATCTTTAGACTCGAGTACTCAATACAAGCGTGACAGCTTATGAAGGAGCATAGGTAACATGAAGACCTTTGCTGATAACAGTGGCAGCTGAGTACCTAGTTGCATTCAAGAGCTTTGAATCAATCAACTGTTCGTTGCGCCGTCTGCACGACTAAACGACTAACGATGGTCTCGTGTCTGTCTTTTGGATGGTCTCGTGTGAACAGGGCGCGAAGTTCGAAGGCACCAACGATAAGGATTGCCACTGGGCTGAGAATTGGCCGAACCGGACTGCCGTGGAAGTGCCGTAGAACCGGGGGCAGGTCGGAAGTCGGATCCGTTTCGGGGTCGGGGCGTCGTCGCCGGAGTGGCGTATCGGAGCCACGCGACGTGAAAGAGAATGAAAGGGAGCTCATGGTATTGGTGGTGTCTTTGAGAGACTGTCGTTTTTTTTGAGAAGCACCCAACTGGCTACTCTTGGACCGGCTTGGTCCACGAATGGCTCGAACCCCTCGGGCCGGCCTTTGTGGGGCTCGACCCCAAGCACATCGAAGAATACTGTCTGGCTGGGTCAAAGAAGGCACCTCAAACCAAAGCTCTGTCTGTTCAGGTTTAAATGGAACATAGACGGGTCGACCTGGGTATCATGACCCAGCTCCGTGCCCACCTCCGATGTGGATCTTGCGGCTTTTTGACTGGCTACAAAGGGTTCGGATCAAAAAATGATCAAAGGCCATCTGCCTCTCCTTGGTTGACTTGTTCAATCACAGCATTTGGCGTGTATTAAGACAGGGAGACCTCCCAAGGATTTTCTGGAAGAAGGCCATTAAATACACACTCATGTAGTGCCATCAAATCATCCAAGCAGACCTTAGTGATAGGTGCCCTCGGACATGAACTCTCCAGGCGCCGCACAGCCCCCGACAGGTCCTACTGGTACCAGTGTTTGGAGACCTCCAAGAATTCTGGGGAAGCCCCACACATGTGGCTGCGGGTCGTGAGGTACCTGGAGCCCTGGTTTTCCTGGTCCACCATGTTTTACTCCGACACCAGCGACGGTCAACCGGTTGACCTTCCTGGTGCCATGATCCACCATGCCTCCTGGTGCCATGCATCCTCCTGTTTGGCCGTGGATTTGAGGCAACTTCCCCATGAAGGACTTCAAGTTCGTCGGCCTCTACGGCATCGAGGCGGGGTCAGACCGCCGAGAGTAGGGTTGAACAGTGGTCGGAGGAACTTCATGGAGTAGTCGAATCCCAGGACGTCCGGGACTAGACTCATGAACTACTCCACCTGGAAGTCAATCCATCCACACCATAGTTTGGTCTCTCTGGGTGAGAGCGGAAAAGGGTGAGCTCACCGGCTGGTTGGGGATTCTTCTTCTTTTGATACAAACGCACACCAGCTTGGAATTTGAAGCAGGGATTTGACCCACTGCAATCTTACTTGATTTTGGACAAGCAAGGCGCAAAGAGGCCACGTATAGATTGATCAAGTTCTTTGATCGGCCACCTCCAAGTGTAACTGGTTGATTCAAGAGGAAAAGCACAATCTTCTGTCACCTCCAGTCCAAGTAAAGGTGATATAGGCCAGAAAAGTTGATAGATTTTACAGTTCTTCGTCCTGATAAGCATCAACTGCAAAGCAGACTCTTTTTGGGCTCTCCAGGAAGGCACCTCCTGTTTCTGGATGGGGTGTGCAGTCCATCCACCCCTCTTCCAACCTCCCTGGTTCAAAACCGACCTCTTTTATCTCAGGTCCCAGTCTGACCTCGTTCCCTTCCATCCCGGGGTTGACCAAAAATTTGGGCTGTGGGGTCCTGGCACGCGGAACCCGGACCTGACGTTCCTCTTCGGGACCACGTCGGGTGCCACGTGTGGACTGAGAGGACCCGCCGAAGAAGGGCGTGGCGGAGGCGGTGGTTGATGCACAGAAAGCCGGTGTGAAGGCGCCAGCAACGGCTGACGGCTGCGGTACCGGCGGCTGCGGACCGTGGGCTGCGGACCGTGGGGGGTGGGGGGTTACTCAACTCTCTGTTGCTTCCTAGATCACCTGAGGTTCAGTGATTTTATTGTTCATGTTTCCTCCTGCTACTCTGGATTCAAGGAAAGCCGAGTGGTTGTTGGCAGAGCTGCATCAATGTTGCTGTTTACCATCTTGTCGGCGATCGAAGACTCGCAACAAAGTTTCAATGCATTTTCCGCACGCCCAGCAAGTTGCTTGAGCATTTTTCTGGAGAAGTGGGTGGGAGAAGCCTCAGCGCCACTTCCGTTGTATTTCCGGTAGTTGGCTAGATCATGCCAGATCGACAATTTCTTGGCACGCCACACGGGTTGTGGTTATTGAAGTGGACAGAAATGAGTGTTCCAATTTTTCATGTCGGAGATGTTCTACAATGGCATGGCAGGGTATCGCCAACGATATGCCCCGATCAGTCATGATCCAAATCACTGGTGGATCCAAAAACATCCAAAAACCACAAGGCAAAGGCTTGTTACTTGTTACGGCTAAGATGGTCATCGACTAGATAGAACATGGGAACATACCAGTCTGACCACTAGGACACTAGGGCACTACTGCGGAAGACGGGTCACAGTCTGACCGACCTCCGCAAGGACGATTCAGATTTCATCTTAATCCGATGCATCCAATTTCTTCAGTCAATCTTCTTGTGAGGTTCGTAGCTTCTGGCCCCCAACCTACAAACGCGATGGCCTCCCCAACGCTCGCATACTTCTCCGAACCCTCCTAGAAGCGATGGCCTCCTCAGAGCCTTCCCCTTCCCCCAGGTGGTCATGGTCACGGGCGACCATCCGGACACCGCCCGCGCGATCGCATGTGCGCCCGGGGTGGTTCGGCGACGGAGCCGATCGCGTGCGATCGAGCGATTCCAGTGGTTCGGTGAGGTTCAGTGAGGTGTTTGCTCTGCACACAGCTACGTATAGCCTGCTCTGCAATCAGTAGCCTGTGGAGTTGTTTTCCGTGAAGACATCAGTACCAACTATCCAGCTTGGCTGATTGATGGGGTCCCAGCTCCGTTTTTGGGTCCCAGCTTTCGTGCAGGAACAAGGTTTGGCTCTGCTGGTCTATTTTGATGGGTTCAACCCTGTGTCACGGCTATAGGGTGCTGAAAACGGGCTCCTTCCGAGCTGACTGGCCACTGCCCCCCCCACCGTTCGACGGGGATCGCGCACCGTGCTCAACACGGAACAGCACGGTGCTCCTTGGAGTCGCCAACGTCCCACGTCGCTTCAGCCGCCGACGGTCCCGCGCCAGCTCGAATCAACATCCTGGGTTCTACGGTGGAGACGCCCTCCCACGAGGCGCGGGGGCGCGGGTCGGGGGCGGCTTTTCACAGGGAGCGAACGGTGAGAGCCAGGGCATTTGCAATTGGAGAGTCCAACAAAAAGAACTTGTTGCTTGGGATATTGCATCATGACTTTCTCAAAATTCCACACTGTCCCCGCCGTGCGCAGCCGTCTTCTCTCTCGGTTTCTTCTCGTGGGTGGAAAGCATCAATACATATTCAAAACCACAGAGTCACGGTGATCTCAAGCCCAAAAATGCTTCCCCAAGAGACCTTCGAATGACTTATAATATCCGTTTTTTCATCGTCACGGTGAGGTCCACCGAGGTCTGAAGCCGAACCGACCGTGGTTACACGCGGTGCCACCCGGTGTTTCACCGTCACCGCCCCGCCGGTCCGGACAGGCGGAGCAGCTTCAGGGAGCCACCGAGTTCTCGGTGATCACCGGGGCGCGGCAGCCCAGGATGCGGTGGGAAGGAGGGGCTGCTGGGATGGTTTAGGGATGGAGTCCATTTGGGGGTCTACAAAAAAGGGGGGGTGTCAAACCAGTTTGTTACTTAGGTGCTTTTGCATGCTTTTGCTCCCTTGTCTTTGTTTTTTCCTTAGTTGTTTTTTGTGGTGAAACGAATCTCCAATGAGGTTCATGACACCGGTGTGCTTGACCGGCGCCAAGGGTGCGTCTGACAGGTCCAGTGTATTCTTGTTCATCAGAGACACGTGGACATGAAACGAACAACGAATCGTCAACACGATGTCAACCATCCACAGGACTTACAGTACATGCTTCTTTCCATTGCTCAGCCAACTGAGGGATCTGAGGGTCTCAGCCTGCTAGCTACCCATAAATAGGATTCGAACCCTAAAGCAGAGGCTTTTAGGTTCGACACTGGCCTTCAGAGGTTCAAAACCCACTGAGTGGGGCCAGAAAACCCATGTCGCCCCTACAAGACCGAAGTGCGCAGGAAGTTAAGCATCCTGCTGAAGAGTTTAAGGACACTTGCTGCTTTTCTGAAAGGTCATTGTCACCGTGCTACACTAAAGCTGAAGCGACATATATCCCGCCCCACCTACGCCTGCCTACGCCTGCTCAAAAAATGCAATGTACTGGTACGGGTGGTGCAACATATTTGTCCCTCTACTTCCTACACAAATCGGACAAGTGAGACCTGGAAGATGTGACCGTCGACTTTGACCTCCTGGCGCCCGAGTGACCTCCAATGGACAGTCTCGGGGTGCCGAACGTTCGGTTAGGGGTGCCACTTAGGGACTGAACACCACCCCGAGCTCTGTGACTCCTGGTCTATTGAAACAAAGGTTCAACAAATGGGCTCTAGGTTCAGATCACCCGGACGGCCGGCCGAACCCGATCTCATAGACTTGATTGGGACGGTTCCCCTCAACGGATGGCCAGGTGGGTGCCCATTGGTGAAAGATGAACATATACGACCTGATAGTAGTATACTCTCCTTTGTAGATATTAACCAGATTCTCAGAATTTCTCAGATCAGATGAGAATACAAGGTGGTAGCAGAGCTTGTTTAGATCCGTAGAGGATTTTCATTAACCTGTGTGCTCCCATGGAGAGGCCATGTGGAACATCGACCTCAACTTCTGGACCTAGCATCACATTTTGGACATGAAGGTAGTTTCTATGTCCACATGAATGAGGGCCGATTATTGAATTCCTTGATTGCTTCTCACCTACACATCAGCATCATCAACAGCTTGATGACGCAGACAGCAATGTTGAATTTTGATCAACACAGACTTGAGAGACATACTTTCATCAGCCGAAATCTGAAATTTCATGTGCTGAGACACATCAGTTCCCACCCGGCACTCGGCACCCAAAAAACCAAGACACAAAACGCGTGGCAGCCTGGTGTAGATCAATCAACCACTGCTTCGGTGACGAAGACATTGGGATCATGGAAAGACGGAAGAGAACAACTTCTTCGCTGGTGTTTTTTCAACCCCTCCAGGTACCCCGGGTTTAACCCATATATATAATACCCGCACCCTCATCTGCAGAACAAGCTGAGCCCAGTTCTGGGCACAGTGGGAGCACTTAACTAACTTCGCAAGTCACGCGAAGACATGCCTCGCCCGATTCGGATGATTTGCTTCTGACCGATGTGATTTTCCGCACGATGGCCACCTTGACGAGCAACGACGAGCTTGCCGTGGGCGGGGCCAGTGGTGTTGTGGAGGCTGAGGAGGAGGAGGGCGAGGAGATTGTGGCCAATAAAAAGGACTTTTTCAATGAAGCTTTGGAATGCTGCAGGATCCTTTTGCTACTTTTCATGCTTATTATATATACCTCTCAATTGAACAAATACAGATGACACATCTTTCGCCCCAAGTGAGAGACTTTCTGGATGGAGCTTTTTCCGGACACAGGGTCAGCAAAATTCGGCGGGATGATAAGTAGGGGAGGCGGTTCCCCCCCAAAGCTGGGAGATCTCGGAGCTGACATCCATTGCAAACTGAAGGGGTCTATGGCTGGCCATGGCCACAAACTATCACACCTGCTGTAAAGACCCAGTATACTCGACGTTATAGTTGATCCTATGGGGGGATCCTATGGTCTTTTTTTGGGGGGGGATTTTGCTTCAAGGACCAGCCCCGCCGGCAGAAAAACCAAGGAGATTGAAGAGGTCCGCGAGGCCTTGAAGAAGGCGGTGGACCTGGATGTGCCAATGAAGACCTGCAAAGAGAACTGCGAACGCATTGGGCAAATCTGGAGTCAATATCAGGAGAAGTCACTACCGTTCCGCGAGAGACAAAAAACTGTGGGATTGAAGGTTCAATCTACTGGGTTTGCAACTCAGCTTTCGGTTGACTGGGTCGATGAGGGTTTACCTTCGACATTCCGTGCAACAAAAAACGCCCGGAGCACTACAGTAGCAGCCAAGTCATTCTTGTCTCGTGTCTTGTGAAAAGCATCTCCTTCATCTTTCTATATATGTGCGTAGTGAAGGAAGAAAGAGCCACTGAGACACTGGTTCGTTCATATACTATAACGACTTTCTGGTTCTTGTGTCAACCGATGGTCATGACTTACTGATGGCTTTGTTTGATGTATGGTGTCAGATCTGGATGGAGAAGCCTCTCACTCAGGAGAACCACAGCTCCCCATGTTGTTTCATAGCAACGAACACACTTCCAAGGTGATCCTGGATCCTGAACACCCTGAGAGGGACCAGAGGAAGATGCGGATACCAAGATGGGGAAAAAAAACAACAAGCACACCAAGAACCCCCCAAACCTGGTCTCTGAAGGTGTTTTTGATGTTTATTCTGGTCAAGTCCAGGTCTGACAAGTTGATACGAGTGGTGCCGGCAATTTCACACTTCGGTGGTGCCCAACTGTAGTTGGACTGGACTTCTGGGGTTTTCGATGTTTTTTTGTTGGGCTCCTCCTCATTGATCCCACTGATCCCGGAGACCCCGGAGTTCCCGGAAGTTCCCGGTTCAGAACGCATGCCTCGTGGCGTTCGCGGCGGAAGGGCGCAGGGCATCGCGGCGGTGAGATTCCAAAGACTCTACGTGACTGGAAGAGATGCCGCCCCATTGACCCCCCTGAAGCCACCCCAACTGATAGACATTCTATCGCAGTCCCATGGAGTGTTGGGGTGTCAGTCTCTCCAGATCTTGCACTCGACAATCGAGGGACGGTCACCGCTGAAGCAGCGGGCACGTCACACCGCTGAAGCAGCGCCGCTTCGAGGATCATTGGCGCCCGGATAGATGAGGGGAGACGTCTCTCAACTCCAACTCTGGATGCATTAGGATCCTTAACTTCTTACTAGTAGCTTCTTGCTACTAGTAATGCACTTGTTACTATATAGTAGCTTTGGATTTTGCCTTGGCTACACCCGGTGTGTGAGACCCGAACCGGGCGAACGGCATGGTGTAGTTCCTCTAGAACCCGACGTGGTTGAGACCGGTTCGTGGGTCTCAGACACCGGGCGTGTTCGCGGCGTGTTCGCTTCCAAATGGCGTTACCTTTTATCTCGAATTCCAAGACGATGATCTCTTCCAAATGCGCTCCATCCGGGTTCTTTTTCCTCACGGGTCGTCCAACTGACAGACGGACCTGGACAGAGAAGGACGGAGGGCCCTGGAAAAACCGCGCCAGGAGCAGCCGGCCTTGCTCGATCCGTTTTTGGAGGAGATGGTCGAGCCACTGATGTCCACGGTCGCCAGAGCCGCCCACCAAAGGCAAGTGGATAGAGCCTGGGATGAGAAGTATGACTCATTTGAATCTATACTCCTGATAGTGGTGGAGTATGATGAAACATGGGAAGTTCTGGCTTGGTGAGGAAGTTCAGTGGGATATTGCATCCCTTCAAAAGCAGAGTGAGGCCTCTTTTGTCATAGAAGCAGGTTACGGTGACTACAGCCACGAGTCGAAGTGTTGCGTTGTTGTGATCCGAAGAAGACATGCAGCGCCTGTTCCAGCATTCCACGAGTCGATGTCTTCACCACAACGTCGATTCGTGGAGCTCTTTTTGCGGACTTGATTCGTCGAGGCTTTCTCTGGGGTGAAACCCACCCTGAAACGTGCCCAAGCTAGTGTCCAAGACCTCTAGAATGGCTTGGCCAGGGGTATCTCAACTCTATCTCGGGTGAGCATCAGTACGATTTATTTCACGTTCGATTTCAACCCTGAGACCACAGATTGAATACATCTTCTCTAAGACTCTAAGAATCAAGGCCCGAACCAACACACAGGGTTTGGTTTGGGTCCGGACCCCAAAGAGGTCAGGTCCGACCCCTGCCACGGAGGAGTCAAGGATTCCTAAATCTTCGGGTTGAATCAGTGTGTTTGCTTGCAGCAACTTTCTCCTTTCTGATGGATGGACACCCATTTCTCAGCACACGAATCCCAGTCACACGAACTTGCCAGCGTCACCTCACCGTCGGCGCCATTGCAGCCAGATCTTTCGGAAACGACCGCATGTCAAATCCCGCCGATCGTCGCCTCAGCTTTTTTGCGAGCTTCATCATGTGAATCACACCGTTCTCGAAGCAAAAATCGGTAGGTTCACCCCCCCTTCTCAACTGGTGGCCGTCTCGGGGTGTTTTGCAGAGCCCCAGTGGCCGTGATCCACGGAGCCACAAGGCCCATCACGGTCCGTCCCGTCCCGTTCCGTCCGACGGTCGACCTGGAAAAGGGGGGTACCGGCGCGACGGGTCGCTGGAGTCGCTGGTGTCGAGGCGTCCGGCTCCATTTGATCAGTTCCTTGCTCTATTTGCTGACCACTGTGAGAGGCTGTGCGGAGTGGAAGAAACCGCTTGCGCTTCAAGCGTTGAGCTTGCGCTTCAAACGCGCGGGGAAAGGAGTGGGTCGATAAGATGGTCTTTTGGTCCTGCAGGGGGTCCCTAAAGCAGTGGATCGGATCTGAAGGCCCTGACAGGGATTGGCCTGACAGCCTGACACCCTCGACTCCTCTAGGCCTCTAGGCAGGCCGCAAGTCATGAGCCATGGATGCCTTAGGGGCCACAGCGATGTAGGGAACACTGAACCCATTGTTCTGGTCTCAATCTGAAGCCATCTATGTCGATCCCTAAGTGCCAAGCAGTAGAAAGGCCTTTCCTAGGTACTCCCGGATTGGAACTTGGCCTGATTGGACGACTTTTCTCGAAGGTTTGAGCCTACTGCGCGTTCAGCTGTTTCAGAGATCCTGCACCCCCTCCCACAACCACGCCACTCTTCACTTCTATGGGAGGCTACAAGACGGTGGTGCGGCTTTTTCCACACGAGGCGGCTGACCTGGAAGTATGTCTGGAAGCAGCTGAAGAAGAGGTGCTATCGGCAGGATGGGAGGGAGACACAGACCGCAGACAGGGAAAAAGCTGGACGATGAACTGAAGGTTCACCATCCACACTTCTCAAACAATTGGTATTTACAGTACTATGCCTTGGGTTTGTCCTATCACCTGTAACAGTCGGTAAACAACTATCATTATTTTAGAGAAAGGCCTTTGCTGACCATCATAAGCCACTGTTGCTGGTAATAGGATACCGATATACCTTAATCATATCCTCGAACCAATTCCAGCTCTTTTCAGAAGAAAGGTCTGCTGCAACCGATGACAGAGAGGGTCAAGAGTTGCTCTTCATGACATCAACACTGTGCACATGCAGGCGAGCAAGGAGAGGCTTGAAACTTGGGCCACTCTCTACTGCTTCACGCTTTGGCTGGGCATGGTGCCTCTGGTGGCACGTGATCTGATTGATCTGGTCTTTTGCTTCTTCCCAGACCGCGAAGGTCCTCAGACGTTGAACGTGAGACCACTCGGAACGCGACCGATCGCTGGGGGTGAGAGCGGCCCGAACTCCATCGGAGCAGTCTCTGTGGCACCGTGATGGTTGGACGCGCGACAGGGCATGGTTCTGTTTTTGGCACGAAAAGGAGGTGAGGTCAGATCAGCCAGTCGAATCACCCCCTTCAGCCCGGTTCCGCAGTCAGGTAGCTCCGCCAACATTCCCTTCAGCACCAGAAGGGGTTGGGGAAGGACCCGAAGTGAGATGAACCGAGGTACTTCTGACTCCGTTTGACCTTGTAAGCATTGACTCCGGGCATGAGTCCAATGCTTCTCTGAGTTCCTGGGCTGTCAAAAAGGCAAAGAAAAGGCAGGAGGGTTTGTGGAGATGCAGAGAAAGATAGGCTTGGCAATTGCCAAGTTTGTGGGTGTGTTGTTTCTTGATTATGGCTCCTAAAACTCGGGTCCCGCCTGTGCCCCTTGGGTCCAACGCAACGCATCTTCCTCGCCGCGTGACCTGTCAGCGGCCTGCGACACGAGGCAGTCGGATTCTCACCTTCGGGCTGAAGGGGCTACGCAGCACCAGCCGGACGCGGGACGCCTCCGCTTCCTGGCTTTGCTTCATTGGCAATTTTTTAAATTTCCCCCAATGGATCCTAGTGGGGTAAATCCCCAACCCCTGCGGTAATATATGGTTTTTGAGGCTTCCGAAGAGCCGCGCCCTCCAAGGCTTGGATGCTGGCGAAGTTCTTCGGTCGGCCCGATGTGAGCTCCACAGGACCGAGCCGGGACCGAGCGCTTTTTTCGGGACCGAGCGGTTGAAGACCCTGCAGATCGGGATTCCTGTAGTGAGGTGGTTTCTGGGGATTTGGAGGGAAGTCCATGAGGTTTCTGGAAGAGGTGAAGGTACTGTATGATGTGGAGATTCTGAATGGACTTTGAATGGGGGCACCCTAGTTCTGCAGGTCCTTGTTTGTCGCGTCGACATCTCTGAGACACATTGGACATCTTTGGTACTGTGAGCCAGCTTGCTTGTCTCACCCTGCTGTGAAACTCCTAGAGGACATCTATTGAATCTATTGGACCTCATGAGCCATTCATGTGGGTGCTTCTTTCTTGCAGCAAGCCATGCTTTTTCTTCGCCTCCAGTCCAACCAGATCCCGGCTCACGGGTCCGCCGCGGGGGTCGACAATCAAGCCGCCTAGACCCCCGAGCCGTTCGACGGTCGGAGAACGCACGCTGGAGGAGCGTTGCAGTCCTTCGTGGCCTGGACCAAAGAGCTCTGGGCCGAAGAGACCTGCACTGGAGCTGCCTTCGCCCGCAGTGGGGCACTCCAGGCGTGGAATCAGACCTTGAAGCTGGCGCCCCGCACGGTGCCGGAGCCAAAGAGACATCGGGAGGAAGGGCAAGTGAGAGAAAAGGAACATGGTGGATTTGGAACTGTACTGGTACTGGGTGCTCGGGTTAACTGGTCTCGAGTGGGAACTTGTGCCACGGAAAGCTTCATTGTGCTACTGTGGTTCCTCAGAGGAAGGACGTGTTCGTCACCATTCTTCTCCAAAGTCGGCCGAGTGTTCGCTTCGCTGAGACGGTCACGACCTGAGGTGATGAGTGGCTTGTGGTCCCAAGTCCTTCGACTGGTTTTGGATGGCCCCAGTGGCCGCCAGGATGATGATTTTGGATCTTCCAACTTGAGGAAGTGCCGAGACAGAGAAGGAGGGAAGGAGGGGACGTGACTTGAGTGGTAGGTATATGATTATCATATAGCGATTCCGAATATGGCAGTGATTGATATATGATGATATATGATTGTCATTGATATCCTATCATAGTATGGTGGCGATTCTGAATGGTCTCGATGCTTGTTTGAGGTTCGGCATGGTTCCCGGCACAACTGAACGGAAGGCCAGACATGGTCAATGAGAGGGTTTTCTTGTTGTTGGACCCATGCGATAAGTGTGACATAGAACTGCCATTTACATGGACTTTGGATGCACACGAGGAGATTCGGCGACGACCGGCGGACACTGGCTATACTATATCCGTCCAGCTTTTTCCGTGTGATTCACCGTTCCACAACACAGCTAAGAGAGGTGGAAGGACCCTAATAGATCATCCCATAGGTGCCGCAGTGGGATCCTTTTTCAGGTCACTTCAACTTAACCTCAGGCTGAGAGTGGCGGTCGCCTGCCGTGCAGCTTTGGTGGTCTTACCCGTACGCTTAGCACCCTGGCGCTACGCCCGCGGTCAGCGATCGCTCTTGGTGAACTTCGCTCGAGCCACGGGCGCGGTGGCCTCTCAAGCGGCAGGTGTAAGCACAGCTGTGGCGGAGGAGTGGGGTTTTGGGGGGCGGGTTTGGGAGGGTGTTCGGTGCAGGTTTGGTAAAAAGATGGAGAGATGTCAAGAAGCATCCTCTAGTATTGCGTCCTCTAAAACGACTTCGAAGTCGGCTCCAGGAAGAGCCTTGGAACGGTTTTCTGTGCAGGAAGAGGAGGATGAGGAAGATGCGCCAGAAGAGGCATGAAGAAGCCCTCATTGCCAGGAGTATTTCAATTTCTTGTGAGATTAGCCCTCAGATGCCTCCCTCCCTTCCTCTCTACTTACAAGGTTGGAGGCCATCGCTACTAGGGTGGAGGCCATTGCTAGTAGTTTGGAAGCCATTACTACTATTGTAGCAATAGAAGCTACTAGTAACAAAGGCTTTGCCCTTGCTTCAGTGCCGTGCAGGTCGAAGAAGTGGTGGAACTACTGCTGACATCTCTGAGCAACAAAGACACCGTCGTGCGGTGGGCAGCCGCGAAGGGAGTCGGTCGGGTCACTGGGCATGCTCGGAACAGCTGGGCTCGGAACCGCTGGGCTCGAGAACAGCGTTTTCCAACCACTCCCCACCGTTTCCATGGATCTTCTCCGAACAAAACCAGGACCCGTCCCTCAAAACTTCTGAAGTTCAGTTTTTCCCCAAACAGTATACTGTTAGGGGTTCTCAATGCTTTAAAGAATGGTCGCCTTGGTGCTGGATAGTCTGGTCGGGTTCCCGGCCGGCTTGTCTCCCACTTCCTTTCATTTGTCTCCCAGTTCTTTTCATTTGTCTCGCTTGTGGTCGGGTTCCCGGCTGGCTTGTCTCCCACTCTTTTCATTTGTCTCCCAGGCTGGGTGCTTGTGGTCGGGTTCCCGGCTGGCTTGTCTCCCACTTCCTTTCATTTGTCTCCCGCTTCTTTTCACTTGTCTCCCAGTTCTTTTCATTTGTCTCCCAGGCTCGGTGCTTGTGGTGGGGTTTTCGGCTGGCTTGTTTCCCACTTCCTTTCATTTGTCTCCCACTTCTTTTCATTTGTCTCCCAGGCTGGGTGCTTGTGGTCGGCTGGCTTGTCTCCTACTTCCTTGACTTGTCTCCCATTTCCTTTTAATTGTATCCCAGTTCTTTTCATTTGTCTCCCAGACTGGATGCTTGTAGTCGGGGCTGGTGTCCGCCCATTTCCACTGGCCGCTGGTCGTGCAGCATTTCTGGTGTCCGCCCTTTTTCACTGGCGATGCGACGTCTATATTCATTTGTCTCCCAGGTCTGTCACTAGTGGTGTCCGCCCTTTTCCGCTGGCCATGCAGGAATTCTGTTCATGTGTCTCCCAGGTCTGTCACTGCTGGTGTCCGCCATTTTCCGCTGGCCACGTAACAGTTCTATTGTTCTATTCATTTGTTTCCCAGGTCTGTCACGCTGGTGTCCGCCCTTTTCCGCTGGCCACGTAGCATTTCTAATCGTTTGTTTCCCAGGTCTGTCACTGCTGGTGTCCGCCCTTTTCCGCTGGCCATGTAGCATTTCCATTCACGAAAGCTAGCATGCTAGCTGAATTCTTCTTTGCTTTAGCAATTGGTAGTGGGATGAGCTGTGTGCCTTAAAGCTTGATATATCACACTAAGGGGGGGGCCAGGCCCCCCGCCTTAGTGTGATATATCACGCTAACCACCCCCCCTCTCCCTTCACCCCCCCACGGTTCGACTCCCACCTGCGGCGCGCCGTGTAGCGGGGGTTGGTTGAATGTGTGAACGTGGTTGGTTGGGTGTAGACGGGGGCTTGGTGTAAACGGTGCTGCTGCTGCCGCTCTGCTGCTTGCTGCTGCTGTTTGCTGCTGCCGCTGGTTGCCGCTTTTGTAGCTGCTGCTTTGCTACTTGTTGCGGCTTGGTGCTGCTGCTGCTGTTGCTGACGACACCGCTGCTCCTGCTGCTGCTTGCTGCTTGCTGCTGGTGGTGGTGCTGCTGCTGCTGCTGCTGCTGCTGCTGCGGGTTGGTGCTGCACTGCTGCTGCGTGGTGCTGCTGGCTGGCTGCTGGTTGGTGGTTGCTGCTGGCTGCTGGCTGCTGGCTGCTGGCGGTTGCTGTGCTTCTGCAGCTGCTGCTGCTGCTGCTGTTGCTGCTGGCTGCTGCTTGCGGCATAGGACTTGTACTTCACTGTTACAAGTTCTTTACACCTATTTCTAACCTAATGCATGCATAAGCGGGGGGTGAATTTACCCCCCAGAGTTGTCATAACCATAAGCCGGCTATTTCCTCAAGACGTTCTATTCCTTATACCTTTTACCAGCGCTTATCCTACACTGCGGACGCCCTAGTGTATGCACAGTCCTTGTGATGCCAGATGCCAGAAATATCCAGAAATGCTTACCCCTCTTTCCGGCGCAAGGCATACATAAGCGGGGGTAAATTTAACCCCCAGAATTGCAATAACCATAAGCCGGCTATTTCCTCAAGACACTCTATATTCCATATGCCTTTTACCCGTGCTCCTCCTACGCTACGGACGCCCTAGTGTATGTACAGTCCGTGTGATGTCAGAAATGCTTACCCCTCTTCTCGACTCAAGGCATACAAAAGCGGGGGGTAAATTTACCCCCCAGATTTGCCGATCATGCATCTTCGTGCCTGCCAACGAGTGCGCCCGTGTTGTTATAATGTACCCTTCCCAGTCGGCGATGTAACGTTTACATTCTTCAGCGCAAAGTATGTACGTAGCAACCTTTCTCCCAAAACATGTAATCACTATATACATGCTTTGCCGACTATGTAACTAGTACATCCGGTGCGACTCGGCTAGCTTTCGACCTCCTCCCCTGGCCTCAAGACTTTTGTCTCCCAGGTCTGTCATTGGTGGCGTCCGCCCTTTTCCGTTGGCCATGCAACATTTCTATTCATTTGTCTCCCAGGTCTGTCACTGCCGGTCCGCCCTTCTCTGCAGGCGATGCAACATTTCTATTCATCATTTGTTTCCCAGGTCTGTCACTTGCGGTGTCCGCCCTTTTCCGCTGGCGATGCAACATTTCTATTCATTTGTTTCCCAGGTTTGTCACTGCTGGTGTCCGCCCTTTTCCGCTGGCTTTTCTGCTGGCCATGTAGCATTTCTATTCATTTGTCTGCCACATCTGTCACTGCTGGTGTCTGCCCTTTTCCGCTGGCCATGTAGCATTTCTATTCATTTGTCTCCCAGGTCTGTCACTGCTGGTGTCCGCCCTTTTCTGCTGGCGATGCAACATTTCTATTCGTTTGTCTCCCAGGTCTGACTGGTGGTGTCCGCCCTTTTCCGCTGGCCATGCAGCATGTCTATTCATCTCCCAAGTCTGTCACTTCTGGTGTCCGCCCTTGTCCGTTGGCCATGCAGCATTTCTATTCATGT